AAAAAACGATCTTCGATCCTTTACGAAAGGATAGGAGTATAATGACTAACAATGTTTATGAACCAATGCATTTTCATGCCGAAAAACAAATAAAATTTGCAAGTCGAATTTCAATGTCTTTTATTTTGATGCATCCTGTATCTTTTCCGAAAAGAAACTAAAGAGATGAAGTCTGGTTTACGTAACAATAAAGAGTATTCCAAAATGTACATATATTTGGATCAATAAACAATTTACCAAAATAGACATCAATGTACTACTACACTTGGGATGGTTCAACAGATATTTAATACGTCGATGTCACAGGTTTATTTTCAATCTTGAGATAAAAATGCATATTTTTAGCAATCTTTGTCATTCATGATATATGTACAATACACATTCAAAATTCAAATATCCATAGGATTAGAACGTTAACAATACTTTGCACGTACATATATAAGTGATGCACTTAAATATCGTCTCTCGTATATATTGCTATATATATGGAATCCTTTAAAACTAGGAAGAGCTAGCACATGAATAAAAATATATATCCTCTTTTGTCAAAGAAATACTATAAACTTGAATATACACAATTAGGATTACGCACTCACGGATTTCTTACAGATTTTGTACAAAGAGTTAGCTATACGCTTTTCTTACGCTGGAGCATCGAAGACACAATGTGGAAGAATGGTCTTCGATTCTTGTCAATCAGAAGTTATATTTTCCAAATGAAAGGTTTGTGGCGCTCCTTTATTTGCAGTTTCTTGCTCCATTATATTTGTCGATTGAACAGTGTCCATTTTATTGCTCACAGCTTCTGCCCCTTTTGACCAAGAACAGCTTCTTCTACCAGGTGATTTAGGCATGGACCAGGTACTACTACGCGATCTTCTTTTAGGCGACGTACTACGAGATTTAGCTCTTGTAATTTTCACCTTCGATACTGATCTTTCTCGCCTGCGCCTATAAGGATGTTTACTGTTGTTTCGAGAATTAGAATGACTCTTCGAACGAGATTTTTTCTTAGATCTCGATCGTCGCGATCGAGACCTCATTCTAGTGTCGGATCTTGATCTCGATCTTCCTCGTCGTCTTTTCGAACGGGATCTACTCCTGCTTTGTCTTCTACTACGAGATCTCGATCCAGACCTCAATTTCGATTGTGAACGTGATTTCGACCTCGATTTGCCGCGTGATATAGATCTCGATTTCGAGCAAGACCTCGATCTTGATCTTGATCTTGATCTTGACCTCGATCGTGACTTTGACCTCGATCTAGACCTCGATCTCGATATTGATCTAGATCTCGATCTAGATCTGCTGAACGATCTTTTACGACTACGTGACCGTGAGCTTCTGTAGTCGAAAGAATGATAGTCCTGGCCTACTAAATGAGCAAAGTATTTGTAGTACTGTTCGTTATACAGATGAGGATTAAATGTATGCAACGTATGAGGATTTCCAGCATTACGCCATGAAAATCCCCTACCCCGTCCTCGTGGAAAACGACCACCTCTAGATATACCTCTCGGTAAACTGGGGTAAATCACAGGCAGGGGCGCATCATAATACCACGGTTGTGGGAAACGTGGATAAAGGGTGGGATAAGAAAGAGGTTCTAAAGTTGACGGTGCTGAAAGAAAAAATACAATTAATTAGTATTTTTGGTGACACATATTGATTATTGTTATTATTCGTGTTTACCTGTTGACGATGATGGATATGTAACATTTTGATTCAGAACACTTTTTAATTTTTTTGTTTGCTCTTCTGCGCCTGATTCCTCGCTTAGGCTTGCAGAATTTTCAGAATCCTTACCACCCTTCTTCCGTTTCTTCTGAAAAAGATTAGATTGCTCAATATAAAAATTAAAAAAAAGAAAGGAAGAAAACGATAGAAATATAAAAAATACATTTGTTACTTTTTTCTTTTTTTCTTTCTTAGATTTTCTCTTCTTTGATTTTTTTACTTTCTTATCTTTCTTTTCATCCTTAGAATCTTCTTCTGAACTCAATATTTCAATGGTACCAGCTACTTTATTACTTCTCTTGTCTTCCCTTTTTGCATCGCTTGAGAATTCATCTATTTTAATCTCATTGTTTTCTACTTTTATCTTAATATGGAAAATTAATTTTAGTCAATTTTATTCTTACCAAGATATAATGACAATTTCACAGAATTTTACCTTTATTCTATCAAATAATTCATCTAACAAACGAATGCTTTCAAGTTGCCTTTGTGCTTTTATTAATTTTTGGCCTTCTCTGGCAATCTTCATGGACACCTTATCCTCTTCCTTCTTTCGAAATATAGTTATAGCTTTACGTTTTCGTTTCTCTTCCCGTTTTTTCCGTCTATTTTCTTTAGCTACTGCATCAGCTTCTTCTTTCTTCCTAGAGGAGATAATGTACGAAATGTTACATGATGTTTTATTTACAGTCGTCACTATAAATATTACTGCTAATTACTTTAGTTCTTCTCGACGTTTTTCTTCAGCTTCTTCTTTCCTACGAAGTCGTTCTGCTGCTAATGTATCCTGGGCTATAAGACGTTTTCTTTCAAATTCTCTATGTGCAACAGAACTATCGCTCATGTGTTTTGTTTTATCAAAAGTAATCTATATAAAATAACAAATATAAAAAACGACTTTTTTTATTTTATAATTACAGTTGATGCAACTTATGTATGTATGCCTACATTGCAAACGCACCTTAATAGAGGCTGTAAATGCTTTTTCTTCTTCTTTTTTAAGAAGTTTCATACCACGCAATGCATCCATAGCTCTAACAAAATCCATATATTCAATATATTGAATATACGCATCAAAAAATATGCCATCTTCATAACTAAACTTATTTATATTTGTGCCAAGACGCATTCTAGACCTATAAGGATCAGCAGCAGGTACATCTATTCTTCTAAGTACTCCCCATTTCTTGAAGATCTTATTGATCAAGGATTCACTGGGCATAGTTGCACCATCTTCAGTGAACCATTTAACAGGTAAGCCTGTTATGTGTATAGTATCAGGCCTTTCTCCAGGTTTTAGTTCATTCATATGCTTGGCATCTCTAAAATAAGAATTCCAACTATGCCTCGTTGGAAAATCATCCTTTGTTTCTGCTGCACGGACTTTTAGCACATTGGGGAATCCAGACAAGTTCAAACGCTGGGAATCCAATCTTGCAAGCACACGCTGTAGTCTGCATCTGTCTTGCAAATCTCCTTCCAATCTGATAAATTCCAATGTACTCTTGGCTACTTTCAGAGATGCAAACTGGTCCGGTAATATAAGGGCACGGATCTTCTCCATTACTTCCCATGTTGATATTGTCTTTCCTATTTATATCGCAGTTAATTTTCTGTAAAAACCTACTATGCTAAAAATATTACATATAATTATAAATATACATAGAATTTGAAACAATAAAGTTGTTTCCTGTCACAAAATTTCAACATAGTTAATCGGTGCGTTTATTAAATTCATTTTATAAACCTAGAAGAATCATGATTAAAATATGCACAAATATGTTTTTAATAACATAAATAGTGATTGACATGAATAAAAAGATTGACATGAAATAAAGTTCTCAGTAATAAGAAATGACAAACATAAGTTTAAACAAAAACGTAAATGTGATCTTTCTCAATAAGTAAAAATGCAGATGAAGATAAAATACATATCATTCATGACCGTTTTACCTGCTACTTTTAGTTGAGGAAGATTAACAGAAACATTTATCTTTGCGACTGGTTTTAAGTAAAGCGCGCGTTGCGTATACAGAGGCACGATATCACTAAGATCCCTACAGCTTCGAAATTGGTTAACAACCTCAGTACTGGAATTTTCACCTACTTTCTTACCATCGCTCATTATTAATATAACGAATACTTTCTATACGGTAGAAGAACGCGATATAAAGTTACGGAATACAAGAGGAAAAGCTACAATTATTGTTAAATATCTATCTTACGACAAAGTAAACCCAGTGAGATGAAAACTATTCAGTAGAGAGGTTGTGTATCCATTCGAAATTAATAAATCTTCCTCAGATCCAAAAAGATTCTCCTCCTTCACTTCACCGTTTAATATCGTTCCGTTCACCGCGCGACTCGACTCACTTCTCACAAATTTACTTCTCCGTTTACCGACTTAAACATCATTCAACAAAAACAGAATCATATATGAACTCCATGTTCTGTCAAACTCTACCGATCGAACACTGTAAATACGAAGAGAACTTCAGAATATCAAAGATGAGTAGCATGAACGAGAAGATGTACACATGAGACACATCGTGTGCGATTACACATTTGCGGTTGAGTCCAAAATCGGTGTATATATTGTGAATTGGTGTAGGCCTGTTGTGCCCTCTAGCGTGGATATCTTATATTATAATAGGTTAAATTCTAGAGCCGCATATTCAATTGTATAGTATTTCAATTGTACGTAGCCGAGACAACAAACTATATATGCTAAGTTCCAACTAAAGAGAGCAGATCCCTAATTTTCTTGTACATACTAATGTCAATTAAACTCAGCACTTGGCCGCATGGTGCAGCACCGTAATGTACTGTGAAACAACTAGAACTATGGGTGTGAGTAATCTCTGATACCATGTGTTGCATCTTAGAGAATTTTGTTTTGTTACCAAATGGAACGCGATTGGACGTTGCACCAGGGACATAGATCCAGCGCCATTTGTTTGGACGCTCAATTTTCGGTCAGTTGCATTTGGAAACTGCGGTGAGTGGTTACGGGGTTGGAGGGAAAAGTGATGCGCGTTTTACTCGCGAGAAGCACGCGAATGTGATTATTGCAAAGAAATAATAAAATCGTAGTACCAAAAACAGCAATAGCACGATGCGTGAGAAATTGTGCACGTCGAATTACTGTCGTAACCCGAATAATCGCTTACCGCGTACGTAAGACTCGCTGTTATTTACGGTCGTGGAACTTCAAGGATCGATTGTTAATTTACGAGGGGAGAACGAAAACGAAAGGGAGCACAATGTCTCTGAGTGCGAGTGCGGAAAATTTAACATCAGAAGGGCAAGTAAGTGAACCATACTAATTAATACGCTTTTACATGAATCGCGTGACTCATACTGGTCTATCATCTCGTTACTGTGCACGATTAATTCGCTTTTATTCGTTTCACTTTTTACTATTTATTAGCAGCATATAATTTCTTGAAGCTTTCTACAAACAACAAAAAATATATCACGCCAAAAATAAAGAAGTGGTGGATATTATACTTACTCAAGTTGTCATATATATCTATCAATTAATGAATTAATTATCTTTACGATTATGTAAACATTCTATGAATTTATTATCCGTCTTAAATAACTAATAAGAATAAATTTAAGCTTTCAGTATAAATACTCTATCTCTAATCAATTTATTGCAATTGCATGATCAGCCACTCCCATGATCATTCCAATATTCTTTCCTTTCTTTTCTACTTTTCTTTTTTCACATTGTAATTATGCATTAGAAATTATGTTATTTTCCTTCCTGCTAAATTGACATATGTTTCTAATATATTTGAAGTAATGAAAACACAAATTGGAGGAATGATAAACAAGTATATGATGGATGAAATTTTTTACATTTGACAGAATAGTGAAAGGTGGAATATGTGCCTTGAATTGGCGCTTGAGGGTGAACGTCTGTGTAAGGCTGGAGATTGTAAATCTGGGGTAGCATTCTTTCAAGCTGCAATTCAAGCTGGTACAGATGACTTAAGGATCTTAAGTGCAATTTACAGCCAATTAGGAAATGCTTATTTTTACCTTGGAGACTATGTGAAAGCAATGCAATATCATAAATTGGATTTGACATTAGCACGTAACATGGGAGACAAATTAGGAGAAGCAAAGTCTAGTGGAAACTTGGGAAATACATTGAAAGTCATGGGAAAGTTTGATGAGGCTATGATTTGTTGCAAGAGACACTTGGAAATTTCAAGAGAAATTGGAGACAAGGTGTGTATATGATCAAAAAATCATATTTGGTTCCTATTAGTTATTAAAAACAATAATTTCTTACATAGCTAAGCGAAGGAAGAGCTTTATACAATTTGGGGAATGTCTATCATGCTAAAGGTAAACAGGCGGGTAGAGTAGGTCATCAAGATCCTGGGGAATTTTCTGAGGATGTCAGACAATGTTTACAACAAGCTGTACACTATTATGAGTAAGAAAATTGAAGCTCTTAAGCTGGAATATAGACCTATGCACATAAATCATATAAATTCCTTTTATAGAGAAAACTTAGAATTAATGAAGGAATTGGAAGATTCTGCTGCTCAAGGTAGAGCTTGTGGAAATTTAGGAAATACATTTTATCTTCTTGGCGATTTTCAACAAGCAATTTATTATCACAATGAAAGATTAAAGATTGCCAGAGAATTCGGTGATAAAGCTGCTGAGAGGAGGGCAAACAGTAATCTAGGAAATTCACATATATTTCTTGGTGAATTTGAGAAAGCTGCACAACATTATAAGTATGTATTTAGATTACATTTTCTCTTCAAAACAATAAATCAATATGTAGATAAACATTAATTACTCTACTCTAGGAGAACTCTCGTCCTTGCACAAGAGTTAGGAGATAGAGAAGTAGAAGCACAGGCATGCTATTCCCTAGGAAATACGTATACTCTATTGCGAGATTATCCGACTGCAATAGAATACCATTTGTGGCACCTTGAAATAGCACAACAGCTTAAAGATCGTGTAGGTGAAGGCCGTGCCTGCTGGTCTTTGGGAAACGCATATGCTGCAATGGGTAACCATGAAAAAGCACTACATTATGCCAATCTACATCTAACCATTTCCAAAGAATTGGAAGATCCAATGGGACAAGCTACTGCACAAATGAATGTCGATGATTTACAAAAGATTCTGGGTTTGGAAAAAGGGCAGCAAGAGAATAATAAAGAAAATATTGCACAAAAACTATCGACCAATACTGGTGCAAATGTTAATATATCTTCACCATGTAGATATAGACTTAGACGACAAAGCATGGATAATCTCGATCTCATTAAGGTAATTTGATTATTTAATATAATTTTATTTTACAATATTGAGTTGGAGATTTCTAACGAAATTATCATTTTTATTTAGCTCACACCGGACGCAAAACTAAAAGAGCAAGCTGAATCTCAAATAGATAAAAGTAATAACACAACACCACAACTTACTCAAAAAGAAGAAGATAGTTTCTTTGATCTTCTATCTCGTTTTCAATCTGGTAGAATGGATGATCAACGTTGTGCATTGAATATAAATCGCAATCCTAAGTTTAGAACGATAACACCTGAGGTTTGCGAGTCGGAAGATAAGTACGTCTCTTTTGCAAAAATCATTATTTTATTTACTAATAGTATGTATTAAAATACATTGATTTTATTTTCAGGGATGGAGAAGATTTACTAGAACTGATTGCTGGAATGCAAAGTAAAAGAATGGATGAGCAACGAGTGACGCTGCCTTACTTACCTGGCCTAAACAGTAATCAAGATTCCGACGATTCCTTTATCGAGATGTTGGTTAGGTGCCAGGTACATATCACACACTCATGTACTTTTTTTCTATTAAACTCGCCAGATCAAATGTTAAATAAATTGCGTATATAGGGTTCGCGTTTAGAAGATCAGCGGAGCCCTTTACCAGCAGCATCAACGGTGCACGATGCTGAAGAGGAACACAACCAAAGATCTAATGGGACTACTCAAGCAGGGTCGACAGTGCCTGAGGAGGATCTTTTCGCTTTAATACAAAGACTTCAGGCCGGACGAATGGAAGATCAAAGAGCCTCTGGTCCTGGCAAAACCTGTTAAAGCATTAATATATATAATTGTGGGAAATCTCATGGTAATGAACCTGCTTGAAATTCTACGATTCGTTCCACGCAATTTCTCGTTGTCTTCTTTTATGATTTACGAAACAATCAATGCTTAATTTATGGATTCCGCTCATAGCCTATGAAATCATTGTACAAGTATGATTCAGACTTTAGGAAACTACAAGGTACTATTATACCGTCCACTGACATTGGTTCTTCACTTTATACGTAGAACAACGTAACGATACCGTATTGTTACGATCACAGCATACTGATTTTGCTAAGCTGAAAAAACTTTTTTTAGCTGCTTGAGTATCCATAGTATGGTGCCAAATTCTGTATATACGAACCTATGTTGTTCGTGTAACCAATCAGGAAATGTTGCACGACATTAAATAGAAAATAACTTTGTATTAATATTTTTGAGATGCAAGAGTATTTGTTTTTTAGCTGCGATTAGAAAGTGACTAAATAATTCACGATAAAAAAATTAAATTGATAACATTATAAACACTGCCAGGTTGAGTGTTTGAGTCATGTATTTCTTCAAAGAACTTAAAATGTTAGTCATGAGCACGGAACGATGAAGATTTATCAATCCTGGCATTATTTTTTCCATATTCAGTATTGTATAATTAGATATCAATTATTTTCGTGAATTGCGAGGTACTACGTGATAAAATTGGTGCCAAAAAGAATTGATCTGTTGGAATCTGAATATATAATATAAAAAAGAAAGAAGAAATTGTTGGTCTTCGTTGTTTGTCTATTTTTCTGTATTCACTGTTTTCCCTATTATATATTGATAAATGCATGTGAATTAATCGAAGTTTGTAACACGTATAATTATAATAATTTATAACCAATGTTACCACTTCTATTAATTATATGATGTTGTAACCAGCTTCCGTCTTTCATCTATACTCTGCACATTCCAATTAGATGGAGTGTTAATGGTGTATCTGTGGATAGACTGGATCGACCATGATCATCTTTAATTCCAATAGTACCTAACTACAAAACTCTATATGGATATTCCATCTTAAAACTTTCAAACAGACTTAATTATGCGTAAGAGAATTCAATTTATAAGGATTCTCAAACTTACAATTTGATACGATCCACTGTATCATCCTGATCTCGTTGTGTTCTAAGAACTTTAAAAAGACAAATACTTGGATAATACATTTATTAAAAGAGGAACGTATTGAACATTCCATTAAATATTCCATATTATATTTATAACCTTTAAAGATATCTTACCGATAAATAACCTAATGTAAATCCCACGCGTTGTTTGTTTCTGGATATGCGGTAGGAAGATTATTAGAAATAAAACGCTTCAAGGATCTAGAGGAGAAAACAAGGAGAAGATTGGAACAATGCCTTAATAAGTTTATGTAATTCTATCGACCTACTATGCGTGTATGTGTACTTTGAGGCTAAACCGTTTCATGCCTACTTATTATACATGTGTACTAAAATCTAAACTTAACTATGAAAGCGAATATAAAATTAAGCCGAGCCTGGTCAAGCGACTATAAAACTATGTTCGAGTATTGTTGGAGAAGAAAATTATTAGTGTCATGTAAAAGGAAGGACGAGAACTAATTGTAATTCCTGTATGTATGAATTATAGTATTATTTTTCTTGTTGTTAAGAAAATTGTGTAACTATATGAACTTGAAACGAAAAGTGAGTTAAAGAACAAAAAAAAAAAAGAAAAAAAAGAAGAAATTCGTTTTAATGGTGTAAACGTACAAACTCATCGTTCATAACTGTTATCATTGAAAGAATCGAAGTAACTATTGATTCGTTATTGAGTTTATATAATAACGAAAGATCAGTAATACTATTTTTTTGCAGATGTTACATTTGTAGTACATTCAATATTTTTAATACATTTAGTTTCTTAAGGTTCGCGATGGCATCATAGCGGACTAGGTACTAATGAGATAATATAGTTTCTTTAAATTGTACTATTTTTTTATGGAGTCTGTCTTTGACGTAGATTTACATCTCACTCTCATATAGTTATGTATAATATAGAGATTCAATAAATATATATATATATACTTTTTCCACAAATTTGAATATTTAATTATTGTTTGTTCTCAATGAACATTTTTATTTTTCACATAAGGACGATCGTCTTTTACTAAAAGAAAGATGTTTCAAATATGTCTGTAATGTCTAAAAAGCCTTCAGAATCTGTATTTGAAGCTTCTTCCACAGATGATTCAACGTTGTGGCCAGAATGGTCCGATGCAGCGTTAAACAAGGAAAATTGGGCTCACCCCAAAAGTAATTAATAAGAAAAATTGTTCTTTCATAATTTTGTTCATTGCAATTTTATACTGATTCTAGATGGACCGGATGGTTTGTTTCTCGACACACAGCTCGTTCAATTACCCCCATCTTTAGTACCTCGTAAGTGGATAAGAGCAAAGAATTTAGACAATCTAAATGTATGTACGCTCTCTTAAAAAATTAATTTCTATTCATGTGATTGTCTAAAAAATCAACTTTACTTAACTTATTTATAATTGTATAACTTGAATTTAGGGACAACTGACAGTATTTGTCGCTAATTCAAAGAGTCCAGACTATATCGCGAATAACAAACACTTATTACACAGTCAGGTAATCTATATTAATTCAGATATGCCCGCACTTTCTAACAAAATCTTTCAAAGTATTATCATTTTCATCCCTATTTGCGGTTTGAATTGGATGCATGCTAGAATATTTCCAAAAATAACGTATTTTAATTTATCGGATTGATCAGCTTGGTTTCTGAGCGACTTCGAAATATTAAACAACAGGAAAGAAAAAATTATTAATTAAAAAGTAAAGTGTCCATTCAGAAAGAGTCGCAAAGCGATCCACGATTGTTCGAGATCGCGTCACAATTGATCGGAGTGTACACACCGATCAAGAAGCAACCTGCTCGCAATTGAACGTGGTTCAATGAAGGGACGACTTTCAGTTCGCACGGTGGTTCATTTCCGCGCTAATAAATCTCCAGTACTGCGGTCGAGATGGATTGGAAATAAGTAGCGAGAGCAGCAATTTTGTTTGGAATGGTCGGTACCAATCTTGGCAGGGTTGGATGAATGTGTATTCGATGAACAAGGCCGGCAAGGGTGTGCTACATCGGCCCGTTATAAATCCAAACGGTATACTCTCAACATTTTATTAATCATCCATTTCTTTATTTCATTTTTTTACATCAGACGCAAATTATCCGCGATGCGTTGCGATTTAATTAAATCGATCATCGGGAATGTTGCTCGTTCCTTACCTCTCAAAATAAATTACAACACTCCAGCGTCTACTATTACCATTTTATCGTCATTAACGAGACAGCTTGTTGACTTTCTAACGCGTGATGTTCGTTAATGCGTATATCCTGAGTCTGAATAAAGAAGATCTAGAGATCTCTTATTATATATTATATTTTGATACGCTTAGAGATTTCTTGAAAGCTAATTTCTTAGATTCGCGAATTCGATACCTTGTGCGTTTCGAAGGGGTTTTTTAATTTCTTAGGATTTAATGTGCCATTCCATGAAAATTATATTTTTCCTTCGTGAAGAAACTTTATTCCTGTGTATAAAGATTTTTGAAAAATTTGTATTACGTCGAAGGCAAATACGTCGTAAGATTATATTTCTTGGGAGCTTGGCGCCGGATTCTCGTGGATGATATGATACCAGTGAATGAAGAGAAAGTACCACTTTTACCTCGAACTACTAATAATTTTGAATTATGGCCCATGCTTCTTTCAAAGGCCCTATTGAAATTGTGCTCTTTGACCTGGACAGACTATTACGAGATCGTAGATTTTCATCCTGTCACGTGTTTAACAGGTAATGTAATAACTAAACTATTTAATTTATGCATCTATGGTATATTTGGTACTATGGTATATTTATGAACTTATGGAAAATTTAAAAGTGCAGAAATATTCAAAATATGTAAGAAACATGTAAAATATCTATTTAATTAGAGACATAAAAGTATATTTCTCTTCCTCTATTATATATTGTTTCTCTTCAATTAAATGCAGGATGGGTTTGTTTGCGATTAGAAGTGGAGTATCTCTCACCCCAAGATAAATGGGACTTTTTGAGACAGTACGCAGACCATTTCGAATGGGAAGCGGAAGTTACGGAGCAGGAAAGTCAGGGTTAGTCGCGTGTCTCCTGTATTTATCATTCTTACAATCCGTATATAGTTTTAACGCTTTGTAAATAGAAGCCTCGAGGTCTAAGAAAAGTAAGGAGGAGAGAAAGTCTAGGGAAACGACGAGGACGAAAAAATCCAAGGATACGAATCTTACGAGAAGATCCACCAACACTGCTGATACGAAAAAGTCCAAGAAAACCGATCGATCGAGAAAATCGAAAAATAATCAGAAGCTCAGCGCTTTGATTAAGCCACAACCAGTTACTCTGTTTCTCGGTTTGAAAGACATGAACGAAGTATCTTCAGAAATTGTGCCGGAAATAGCACCATGTTGGGGCCATTTTATTTATGTAGCTCAGTCACGCGATATTCCTTTGGATCCCAAAGATGTATGTTAAATAATTTTTGGAACTTAGTACGGCGAATATTGTGTACACGATCGTGAGTGAAATTTTATCCCATTTGAATTTTATTTTAATATTATCGTGCTGTGCAATATTGTAGCAATGTTATAATTCGTAACCACTGAAAATAATGATTTCTCTAAAAATGATTACTTTTTATGATTGAACAACAATAAGATATTCTATTCCGTTTGTTTAACTGTATTAATTTTTTAATTTAAACCAGATATATTGCGGTAAACTTTCGCCCATGATAGGATATCGAAATAAATGAAAAAAATAAATGATATAAATAATAGGTGAAGCCTCCGTTAGCAAGATGGAAATTTTATCGTTGGTTAAAATGGGCGATCAACGAAGGAATAATCGATCCAGTTGAATATTTCGTACCGATTCGATCTCTGAAAATAGTCAGCCCTTTGAGGAAATGCGAGGATAGCGTGATGAACAAATACATTACGACAATTACAGAGAAAGATCTTCAAGATGAAACTGTCAATGATAAGTCGAAAACAGACGAAACAAGTCAGAAAGATAGGGCTCGTGAAATGTCGAAGGAGGAGAAGAAAATTTCGCCAGATTTTTCAGAGGACATCAGCTTCTGGGCAGATTTTAACAAAATGGAACCCTACGTGAAAGACGTACATTTTTTCTATAAACTAGATTACTTTCAATACAGTATGAAACTGTCAGATCGATTTGCATCGAAACAACCAAACGATGAAAAATCTGAAACTAAAAAAGAGAGTAAGAAAGGTAGCAGGAGAAGTTCACCGTCTAAAACAACGTTCAAAAACTCTGAATTTATCGACACTTATAGTTGGCCTCAAAAAATGTTAAAAACCAGAAACGAGCCGCTATATCTCTTCACCGATTCGTTGGAAGAGAAATTCTTTCTCATCGACTTTGCAACGTTCCAAGTTTCCATCGAAATTGTCGAAGACGCCGACGATGAAACTTCAATTCCCAGAACCAAATTAAAGGGAAATAAAGATTGTCTAAGTATAGAAGAGCATTGTTGGTTTCGTAAGCCAGAAAAATCCATCTTCTTCGTCTCCGTTTTAACTGCTGGCACAAAATCAACCGTGATGGAAATAGATCGAGGGAGACACCTTTTACGAGTTTACTGTCACTCAGAATCCAATTGCCTTATATCTATCTCATCGGATACGGTTTTCCACGTGGGGGACAGGCGAAGGATGTATCAACTAATGTGCACAGAATCTGAAACGGTCGATCAGATGGCGAGGCACATCAGCAACTCCGTCTGTAGCGTCTATCAAGCGTTTGGCACTGAAAGATACTCGGAAGCCTTGAAAATTTACTACAAAAGTTACTTGCCACCGGTTGAAGATCGAGAGATGAGGGACAAGTTGTTTTATAATCAGATACACGACTACTTTATCGAGGAACAAGTACAATTAATTAGAAAAATCATGCCTGAAGACGAGGTTCCAGGTGTTTTACGAGCTCTGAGAATATTTTTTCTCAATCATACTGTTGGCTTAGAATGCTTCAAAAACGCAACGATCGTGTTGAAGAACTTGCTGAACAAAACGAGAAGCTTGATTGAGAATAGAAGATACGCTAGTCAGCATCCCACGGAAAAAATTATTGAACAAAATAAGGCTGCAGCTGTTATTCAAGCGTTTTTCAAAACGATTACCATTAGGAGATATTTGAAAATACATAATCCTCGTCACGAACAGTATAATCAAGTTTTACAGAATCTACTGAAAGTTGCAGAATTGTATAATTATAATAAGCGAGAATCCTTAGCTAATCAGGTACTGAGGAATATATTAAAACATCATGATAAATTACGTGACATTTACTATTTTTCTAAAGACTTCGAGTACACCTTGCAAGCGCAAGAATTGAAAGGGACGGTGACAAATATCACGCCAAACCAATGGCTCCCTATTATAAGATTCGTGGTGAATCCTCAACCCTCAGAGACAGTGTTTGCCAGTATAGATTTATTTGTTAACCTACCAAAGTATAGTGTACGCATGTTTAAAAATGAGACAGGTGAAGAAATACAACGAGTGGTAAACAATGTGGTTCCAACTCGGTACCAGCATACGAAACTAGGTTACACTATCTTCTGCTATGGTTGGAGCGAAGATCAAACGTTGAAAGAGTTACCTTGGTCCTTAAATATAATTACAATGAAAGGGCGACCTGTGTTCTATTTTTTAATTGACGAAGTATCGTTTCTCACGATTAACATGCCTCCTATATTAGCTATAGAAGAATTGTCCAACAGTTATATTCCTAATTCGAGAAATTATATTTCCAAGTGGATCGTTCGAGTGGTGAAACCTAGTTTGGTCTCGTTTAGATTAAGAGTATCGTATGAGAAAGTAAGAATGAGATTGAGAGTCATCGATGAGGAAGGTCAAGTGTTGTCGCAAATAAAAGGTACTTGTGTAGTTATTTTGCCGATGGTGTATTTGGAATTTCGAAGAAGTTCTACTGAAATTACACTTGAAAGGGATAATTCTGATAACATCGACGAAGAGAATTCTAGCGAAGAGAAAGTTGATAGCAACGAAAGTAGAAGTAAGGATGATGTGATAGCTCACACGATTTATCACGTAGAAGCGTCAGTGCTTGGAAACAGCTGGCCATTGACTGATACAGAATGGAGTCTTGTGTCAGAATTCAAAGTGAAACCGACAGGCTCTGTTATTAAAAAGAAACTACCACCTTTTTCGAATACAGGAAGACTGTCAAAGAGTGAGTCGTTAAGGTCGAGGAGAGTTTCGAAGCAGTCTGTTGAAAGTGTTCCGGCTGTCGAGTCGCCTTATTGGATTCTTCAAGTAGTTACTGATTCTGGAAGCGGATTAAAGGTATATACCATACTTACACAACGTTTTAAGATTTTACAAACATTTCATATATGTAGCCACTGTTTATCTTTATTGCATATGTTTTAAATCAGATAATAATTCTTCAAGACTTATAGCTTAACTTCAAATTAAATAATAATTCCTAAACACTTTAATAACTTTCTAATAATTTTTCAAAACTTAAGTTCTCCTATGTGTGCTAAATTTATGAGAATGTATATGTGTATTTATAATATGGTTACTTTATAAATCATCTATGACGATTATATTTCCGATCAATAGATATCCCAAGATAGGACGAAGGAAAGGGAGATAGCGAGGATGAAGGAAGCCTGGGCGAAAGAGAATCCTGACAGCTTGCAGCGTGGTAGAGAACTCCGTGAAGCTTTCATAAAGAAACACGAGATCAAGTCGAAATGCTCAGCGGATTCGTTCGAAAAGAAACCTTCGAGTCATTCCGAGAAATCGTTGACGAAAAGGGAGAGCCATCGTTTGTCGCACATCCAGACATCCAGGATTTCAATGGCTCATTTGGAGAAGAGGACGTTGAAGCCACCTCCGTCCCTTCGTAGACTTCCACCCTTGGATTTGACTATCTACGAGGTCAAAGAGGACGAGGAGGACGAAGCATGGGTAAAGATGGAGTCGGATGAAGAAATGATGCGAAATATTCGTATAATGAATATCTTGTACGCTCAGGAAGACTACGCGTATTTTCTCGAAGATCTGAACAAGCTATATAAAAGACAGAAGTACCAGTACGAAACATTGTATGGAAGATATATAGATGCATTTTTTGATAGAAGAGGAATGTTGGAAGACGTGTACGAAGCTCGAAAAGGATATATAGCTAGTACGAAGCCTGTAGCTGCTTCGAGCACCAAGTCTACTAAGAGAAGCAAGAAATCTAAGAAAACCTAGACCAATTAATTTTAGAATAATTTACATTAATTTTAATTCAGTAATTTACCATCGCAAGTAAATATTTGGTTAATGTAGTTATGCTAGATTAAATAGTCAGAACAAATTGTGTTGTATTTAATAAGAAGATGAGAATAGGAAGAAGACACTTCACCAGTGTGAACCTGTTATTTACTATACTTGAAATAATCTTCCAAATTTCTAGCTCTCTTCTCATTACATAGTCAAATTACTTGAATTCCAGTAAATGAATTAATCCGAACAAGATTTAAGATGTTTAAACGCTATTTATGTTAAGTTGCATCCTTTAAGTTCTGCCTCTTAAAAACTTAAGAAATACACACGAAGGCCAATATACCTTAGCATTTACATATTCACGACACCCGGTTCACAAGAAAAGTATCTTTAATTGCTGCATGAACCTTGTGCTTACTAATCGTTGTAACCGCCAGCGTCATGTATATTCCGGTGCAGCGACATTCCTGGCGCCGCGGATTCCACCAGCTTCGAGTCCTCCTCGAAGCGAATAATCTGCGTATTACGTTCTAAACGATAACGATCGATGATTCAGCGGGACCCTTTAAACAGCCACGATTTTTCATCGCCACTTATCTAGATCGGTGGTCGGTCAGGGACACATTGAACGATACCTACTCACGGTAGGTGGAAGCGATACAGTGAATTTGCAAAATCGGTCATAGATTAAAGATTACAGCTTTTGATGCCCGTAACAAGCAATTAGAAACGTAATGGGGTTTATAAGGATCTAGAACTTCGTTCAAGGCTGCACGATATCAACTCGCAAGAAATATAACAAAGTAAAGTTATTTGAGTCACGTAAGCTTCAACATCTTAAAGTTCGGTTTTGAACAGAGTAATCAAATCTAAATAATTCTATGGTAACCTTATTTCAGTCAACGAGAAGGTATTATATACATATAAAGAGTTTGCAGAAGATCCTGCCATACGATTATTCGTACCACTTTTTTGTTTTTTGTAATATTTTTATGCTGGATGTAAAGCGCATGACATTTTCTCATTCCTTCTTTATTATACTCGAGACTAATGGTGTCTCATAACATACAACGACTTTGATTATTTCGTATAAAAATTGAATTTTCAGATATTGAAGCTTAGGTGACTCGAATAACTCTACCTTTCTGTGTATACCAGATAGTATTCAAAATGTTTCAGATCTCATCGCTACTTAATACGGTGGAGAACGTGCGACATAGGTGGAACTCGAAAAGAAGTCGATGTTTGCATACTGGCGACCGGTAGCCTGCGGTGCATCGCGAAGAGATGACCGTCGACGGGGCACCTTTTAATGACGTGCTCCCCGCTCGCCTCTGGAAAAGAAAAGCACGCTGATCCGTTCCGTTCATTTTTCATCCAGGACCAGTCCCCGTCGTCTAGCAAGATTATTACAAAACTGCGCGGGGAAGAGGTCTAGGTTAAGCGCAAGAACAGGTACAGCGTCAGCGAGCAACGTGCAGAGCTGTTTTATCCTCCGTGTGCTTAATGTGTAGTTCCTTCCTTTTCTATATTTATTTTTTATCCTTTACTATTTTTTTTTTTTTTTTTTTTTATGTCATAGCCAGTTGCTTTCGTTCGATCGATTTGTTTTTATTGAAGAAATTGATTGAAAGGAGATATAATGAAGAGGTAAGTTGGAAGTGTTCTGCATGGTTGTATGTAGAGCAGGTTTTTATTGGTAATATAATAAAAAGGTGGTGGATGATGAATATGTGTATATAGGTTTATTTCTTGTTGACTTGTACTGGTTTATCTAACAAGATAAAGTTTAGATATATGAGCTATCTTCGCTCAGTTAACGCTAGTGGAATTATCGAATCTGTTAAAATAACAAGTTTTACATCTTTTGCTTTTGCAATTACTAAAACTTGAAATATTTGCAGTGGGGTGCAGGGAAAACGAAGATAATCGTTTGATTCATTATCGAGAGAAAATGGGTTACACTATACCAATTAACGCTAGAAATATTAAACTGATCAAAGTGACAAGTTATAGCTGTTTTTCTACTATTTATTCCCATAACGAGATGTTGAGTATCACTAGATAATACTCAATGACGGAGTCAATGAAGAATTTCTATAAATACCGACAATACTAAGAGCACAATCTAATTAATTGAAGTAGTCAAGTGATATGCACTTCACAGTATCACGCGTAGAATTCCATTTAAACTTCGATTATAATTCTATTAAGATATCACTTGAGAAATATCAAACGATTCATTAAACTCGGCTCATTGACGGAATACGGCACTTAAGCTACAAAGTTTCATTGAAACATTTACAAAACACGCTGTACGTTGCTGCAACATGCGCGTTGATTGCAGGTGCATCCACGTTGCAGACTATCCGCTGGTGTTCAACATTCGAAGGCAGCAGTGCATCGCCTCGTCGGCAATCCTGTGATCAGTGTCGATCGTGTTTGTTGCTCGATCTCGCGTGTCGCCGAACAAATTAACGATCATGGTGGTACAGTGGCTTCTGCAAACTACGGACGCCGATTCACCTGGCAAATATCCAACTCACGTGCGTACTATAGCTTACACCGCAGCTCTGATGAGATAAGATCGAGATTTATGAACACGAGTTTGATAATTTTAGTTTGTACGTGGATCGACCTAATAACAATATTGGCGAATAATTAACGACATTTATGATTTAATAAAAATATTGGCGTGTAACCATTGCCTGTGATTTAATAGAAATAGCATTGAAGATAAATTTGAGAGATAGAAATCGATTTTCTCAAGGAAGAATTCAAAGAATTCAATTGAATTTTTCGAAAGTGTACTTATACTTTCTATACGGCAAGGACGAAGAGGAGGTAGAGTTTAGTCGTGGATTATTCCACGTCATCGTGACTTTTAGTTCAGAATCTACTTGTCATTCGCGACCATCGCCAGAGCTTTCATGAATTCCTTCCTTGTCCGAGAATTCCTCATGTGGTGTCTTTAACTCGTAAAGAAATCGTAGTCATTCTAACTTGATTCTACCTTGCGAAGAATTTGTTTCGTATATATCGATTGCTATTAAAAAAACAAAAGGCTTCTAATGTAATTGGAAAGATATTCTCACAAAGATACAAATATGATAATTCCAAAGTGGAAATATGAAATCACAGATATCAATAATAATTCTTCCATTTTATTTACAAGCATAATGAACTATCGACAACGATTCAAAGAGCGTATAGCAGGATCAAAAGTATTCTTGTCAGTGAATTGCAATTTCAATTTCCTTTTTCACGAAGCTATTAGGACGTTTCCGCTCATAAAACGGAGTATGGTGACGTTAGTTTAACGCTTTCGCGATAAACGAAGCCGCCTTACAATCAGTAAAACTTCCCCGTGTGCGTACGATCGTTCGTTTCTTGTTTTATAGCTGTTAAACGGGCCACTGGCTAGTTAGAAAAGAAAAAGAAAAGGCAAGAGAATGAACACGGCCGTCGTTAATCATCGTTGATCTGGCTGGAGAGTCGCGATTCGCATTAGGGACGGTCGACAATTTTCACCGTCGTCACTCAAAATCGTGGCCGCCGATCGGAAAATCGCGTTTTACGAGCCGTTGTTATCGGGAATATCTCGCTGGTAGAAGCCGCAAAGGCTCGCCCTGCGTGTTACGCGTCCCCGTTAGCTCTCTGTACCATTTCTCGCCTATTCATTTCCTCACGAACGCGCAGACTACCTTCAACTTTTTACACATTTACAATTTAGGATGGAACATAAAGTTGCGCGATTTTCACTTTGTACTGAATTATACGTAAGTCGTAACATTTGTCCATTGGTACTGTGTTGCGTGTCAATCCACAACTCTTTCTTATCTATTGAAATAGACAAAATTTTATGTCAGATCTTACAACGCACGTTTAACAAAAACTTTGTGAAACCTTTTGTACGGAAAGTATATACTTCTAGCTTTTGCTTCCACAAATTTTATCGGGTTTAATATTTATTAAAATTTAATCAGTATATTATTACATTCTTTTTTCCTTTTTTTCTTTTCTTTTAACACGATTAAAATTGAGAATTTGACGTCTTAAGTAGCTTAAAATCGTAAGTTCGTAATAGAATAATGTTGCAATGACGAAAATAAGGAAGTTATGTTTCATGCGTGAAGTTAACTTTTAACCTCGATGTCAAGGAAACTCGGTGGTTCTGCATCTCATTGTTATTATCGCCACCCGCATATAATTCCATTCGAATGAGGTTACGTAATGACAATAAAAAGGACGGCTGTAAGAACGATGATGTCAGGAAGATTAGATTTTTTTTGTGTGCTGTAGATTAGTTGATAAAAGAATACATTGATAGTTATGTATTGGATTTTTCATTGCATTGCAAGCGATAAATCGTCCTGTAATAAAAATAGCTATTTGACGTGCCCTATTTTATTCTTTTTGTCTTCGTTCGAATATCGCACATGACTCGTCAGCTAACAATGGATGTTTTTAATCGAAGTGGCCGGAAGTGATGGCTTCTTAACACGCTTATTAGTTCAGAACGCAGAGGCCAATGTCGTTGGTATTTCTCAATCGTAGCTCGAGCTTCGCCTGATAACGTCTACACTTCGTTGCGAAAGTTCTATTAATTAGAACGTTTCGAACCTTCAATATTCATAATCTTCATTAATACTCATTATATCTTTAAAATGAGATTTTATCTGTATCGATAAAATTGGAAAATAAAATCTTCGTTTAAAAATAAAACGAAGAAAACTTCAAAACTTGTAAAACTTTCTACTATTCTAAAACTTCATCTACATCTAATCTTCCTATTTTTATTTCCTCCAAAAATTTAATTTTAAAATATTTCTTCGAAAACATTGTTCACTACATATAGCTCAAATATCTACGAAATTTTCTCCAGTTCGAAGATCCTCCTAACTTCTTCTTTCTCCATTTCCCTAAGAAATCTAATTATACTACTTTCGCAAAAGTATTAAAACGAAAGGAAGATCTGAACTTCGTGTTTTAAGATCTTCTTAGCGGCACCTATAGCTTGCCTTCTACAATTTTACTTCCTTCGGTCCCCCTAAGAATCCAATTATGAAACACTGTCACACGTTGCCTCAAAAAAAAAGACAGTCAAAGAAACGTTTAACTTCTGAAGATCTTGCTACCCTGTTCTCGAACCTTCCTCCAAATTTTCCCTCTCTCTATCCCACACAAAATCCAATTGACACACGATATCCATGTAAGTTCGTCATTCCATCCGAGCCCAAAATAAAAATCGCCCCGTCTCTACGTAATCTTCTCTAGTAGAAAATAGAAAGCAATGGCGAAAGGAAGACACGAATAATCGTCGTATTCTGAAGATAACTTACCTACGTTGTTTTGCCTAATGCGTATGAATTGAAACGGATTTCGATTAAATTGCACGACCTTTTTGAACGTATTCAATTTCTATTCATTCTATATTATTATTATATATTCCTATATATTATAATATATATTACATATTATTATACATTCTATATGTTATTATATCCTATAATGTAACGACCGTGTAAATTCGAATTTTTAAAAATTATGAAGTGCGGCGTTTTTTCTTTGCAATCATAGGTATAAGTAAACACATAGCTGACCTTAAGTATACCATCTATATGGTGTTTCAATACTTTCCCAAACCTCTGTCTTATAACATAAAATATTAAGTGAAATATAATTTGATACAGAATTTTCGAATAAATGCAATGAGTAGTAGATGTTCTAATATAATACACATATTTACATCTCAGATCTCGATGTACACGCATTTCTCAAACATTTCCCAGTATATTCGGAGTCGCTTCACGCGTGTCATGGTGTAGCACACATTCGTGAACGTGTTGACAGGGACGAGAAAGAAAAAGACGGGGTGGGACTATCGGTGGTTCTCTTCTTGGTGTTTTCTCCCGGCCGTCAGCTGGACGTGGCCGCGAGCAAGGCGAGGAGGGAAAGGACGCTCGTGGAGGGAACGAGAGACGAGAAGACGAGGGAAGAGAGCCTCTTCTCTCCGGATGAGCCCTCTCTCGGTACGGCTCGTTCACAATCTGCTGCTCCAGTCTCGCGTCGAGTCCCGTCGCCGCATCTTTTCGGGGCTCCTTTCCTTCGTTGCTCCTCTTCGGATTCCCATTCGCGGAAACGACGTTCAACATCAACGTGAAGTGCAATCCAACTTCTTTTTCTTACTATTTCTCTTATTCTTTGTTAACAAATTTATATCTATCGAAGAATACGTATAAATTCGTGTAATTGGCCAACGATAACTATCTTTCTTTTACTCGATCAGTCTGGCACTCGAACTCGATTAAGGAAATTCTTAGGGGGGTGAGCTTAAAATTGTCGGGGCGAATGCTGGAGAATTGGTGATTGGATATTATCCGAGGAATTATACGAAGCAGATGGTTGAGACTAAGCTCGAAGCCTGAGAGTGAATTTGTTGGAGGATCGGTTGCTCGTGGTGGAGTAATGTTGATGATTTCGTTGACAGGTATGGCGCGAAGTTGAGACTAATTTCGAGAGTAATAAAGTTGTTAGGAAGGTACGTTTATCGTTGTTGGAAGTTTCTTGCATCCATTTCGTGACATTGCTCGTTTCGTACACGATCCAGTTTATCATTATCTTTTGGATTAGTAGTTGAGAACGTAAGATACTTTGAAGCTGCTAAGTCTGAAGCCATTAAGCATGTTAATTTAAGCGTGTTAATTCCGCCGAGAGGTCCGTGAGGATGTTCTTTGATATTTTGATAGTCTTCTATGGAGAAGTTGATCTTGGGTGAAATTTTTCACAGAAAATAATTGTTCCATTACTGTTAGCTAATTCATTAAATATCGATTGAAAGCTCTTTCTTACCTTATGCAAACACGATGATTAACCAAAGAAGAAAACGAATCACAGGATAGATAGTTTATTTCGTTTACTTAAGCTTGTACTCTTAACTTTACGCAACTAACTTTTCACTGAAAACTTGTAAAATAGACCATCTTCTTAGCTCGTGCAAACACAACGATCAATCACTAAAGATCCACAACACAAAGTGAATCGTTCGTTTCGTTTATTCCATAAATATAGTGACTAATTGCTAGAGAATTCGTCGAAAAAAAAGGTTACCGATATTGACTTGTTATTCCGTTTTCCTCGGGCAAGTAAACGATTAATAGACGCATTTATCAATCCGCTTGCCCCGTTCTCGACATAATAGAACGTGCGAACCAGACTGATCTCTTTTTATGCGAGTTTTGCACGAGCATACCAGGCTTTATGGAACTTTAATGATAGCCTCTGCTCGGTCCGCTTTTACGTTATGATAACGAGTGAAAGCGGGAGTGTGTATCTCGCTACGGCGAATTTCCGAGGAACGTGGCGTCGACTCGAATCGCCTGTTTCCCTTTTTTCCACCAGGAATAGGGTCCTTCCTGGCTAGAACGAGATCTCGATTAATAAATGGACGCTGTAAGCGTGGAATTCCAGCTGGAAATTCTGTAGTTTCCTTTTAAAGATAGGTATAAAGATGATAAATTGTACGACATTCTAAAGTATAATCTTTCTAATGTACGTCTAATGCATAAGAGATTGGTTTCCTAAGAAACGCATAGCTTGAAAAGTTCAAACGGTTATTGGAATGAAAAATAATCGGTATGGATAAATAATTTGCTAGCGGGATTCATTTTTGTTAGCAAAAATTGTAGGACAAATAGTTTAACTTTTTCCGCTTTAAACCTTTCTAGACTCATACATACAATACGTATGGAAGTAATTTTTAGAGATTATTGTTAGATTGCTAGAATTAGACAGTGGACAGTTTATACAATTTGAAAAATTACGGTTAACCTATTTTTGTCAGATTTGGATGAATTATATCGTCTGTGTCGTCATATTGCTATTTCTCTGAATGAAAAATTCATCCCAAATGAGTTAAATTATGTTTAGTTGCGTTCGTTTCTAGAATATTGAATGACCTGAAAATGAATTTCGTAGTTCCAGCTCCGTTTTCACGAAGGAACAGCTATTGTGAATATTTATATCAAAAGATAGTTCCATCTATCTCATCGTACTAATTTGGTGCTTCCGGAAAGGCGTCATAGTCAGCGCGGAATCGCGACAATTATCGCACATTGTCTCCTCGCTTGGTTTACGTGGTGAGGTTTGCGCTGTTCTCGCGAGATCGAAAACGAAACATAATTTCCACGAGTGTGACTAGTTTCCTTCTCCCCATTAATCTGGGTATCGTTATGATTCTTCCGGAAATATCGTTGCAAACTAATTTTATTTCCTCATTTTTGGAAGGACTATTCGCACTATCCAATTCTTCCGGGAAGGTGTCTATATCTTTGAAAGGAAAAATACGAAAATTCGTTCGATGTATTAACGTCAAATAGATGGGAAATTACCTAATTTTGAAAAACGATAAAGCGATATATTTTCACAATGCAAGCGACTTCCAACAAACAATAATTCCTTCGCTTCTAAACTTTGCTTAATGGTTAAGTAACCGCGGCATTAAACTTGTCAAATACAATCGTCGAAAACTAAGACGAGCTAGAATTCACTTGCATTAATTTTCTAAACTTTCCATGTTATTGATATCCCATAATAAATTCCACAGATTTTCAGGAAGAATCTGAAAGAAAATTGCGTGCAGGAGACTTGTTTTCTACCCCAAAGATTCCCGACGAATCGAATCAGAAAATCTCCCCTCTGGAACGGAGACGCGTCTATTACAGAATTCCAAGCGCGTCAGATTACCCAGCATCCAGTCGATCGGGAACCATGATCGTGGAACCGATCGTGGTGTCGATCGCGAGC